ATTGGTGTTTCAGTATCCTTAAGATATAGCCCCAGAAGTGGAATCACTGGGTCAACAGTCTCCTTTTGGCATTCAATTAGCTTTTCAATATGCAAAACCGTTTGTGCCCCAACTTAAAATTGAACCTGCAACCTAGCTATGTGCTTTGAATAGGAATTGAACGCTCAACCTTTTGGTGTATGGGGAGGACACTCCAACCAACTGAGGCCTTAAGATGTATTCTTTATCACACTATAAAATATTTTATGTCCTGAAGTCTTTGCCTGATCTTTCTATTATACTGTTTTAATGTTTCTATTTTGTTAACACCAATCTACTTATTGTGGTTCTACTAAAACGGTTAATGTTTTATAAAGGAAGTCCCATTCATTAATTTTTTTAAATGACTTAAAATTTTTTTGCCTTTGTCACATTTTTTCTTAGAAAAAATAGTGAACCTATCAGTATAGGGGAAGACAACATTAAAAACAGTACATTCTATCCAAATTAGTGTATAAATTTAATATCCAATTCATCAAACTTTCAATAAAATGTATTGAATAATCTGATGTAGGCCTTTAACTCTAAATTAGGTCTTAGTAAAGCTTTATAATTTTATTTACATAGATCATAATTCTGGGTTCAATTTATTTTGTTTAAATTTGTTTTCTTCATCTGTGGACATTTTTTTCATTGCTTTTAGAGGGAGAAACATTGATTGGTTGCCTCCTATATGTGCCTGGACCAGGTATCATTTTTGCTCTGATGGGGAATTGAACACTTAACCTTTCAATTATGAGATGATGCTACAATCAGCTGAGCCACACTGGCCAGGGCTTGGTTCAATTTGTTTCTATTTATTTTATATTTTATAGCTTTTATTGTACTTGATTGGCTATTGCTAGTATATAGAAAAACTACTGAATTTTCTATTTACTTTTATAATCTAACACTGTTCCAAACAGATTTTTTACTTCTCATTCTAATAATTTTCCATTTAAAATCTTGTATTTTTTATAATACATAATTATATCATCTGTAAACTACTAACTTTTTCCTCTATCATATTCTATTTAGGCTACTGTAGAAGTTCTTAGCTAATGATTAACAGTAATGATAATAACATTTTCATTTTATTTTTACATTGATGAAAGGATCTGTAATATTCTCCCTGTTGATTCTACCTGAAATAGGTCTACTTTGCTATGCTGAAGATGTATCTGTTATTCTTAGTTTACTAAGTTTTTAAAAAGATAAGTCAGGAATGACTATTTAAATTTATTAACAGTGTATTTTGGACCCATGGAAATGGTGATGAATTTTTGACTTTTTCTTAAAGGATCTTACAGCTCATTTAATTTACCACTAAAACATTCATTTGCTTTGTATCATACATAGAAAATTGAGGTCAGCCTGCCTTTAAATATGTCTAGTGATAGGAAACTACCTGTAAAGCAGCTCCATCCATTCTTGATATATCTCTATTTACTGGGCCTGGGTGATACTGATTCACACATCATCAGGCTTCTCAACAGTGTTCTGGCCATTTATGAACCAACCCTCTGTTACCCAGTCCATATTTTTCAATCTTCCTGACAAACCTATTAAATGATGCCCTTGGCCAATTGTTTACTCAAAGCATTCTAATAATTCTAGCAAAAGAGATTCACTTATTCTGACAGGACTTATTCTAAGTGAAACCATGGTAATCATGAGTCCTTACAAAATACCCATATGATAATGTTAGAATTTTGAACATCTATGTTAAGTTCAAATTATCACAAACCATCAAAATAGTTACTATTTAAATTTTATATTTCTGGTATTTAACAAAGTTTTGGCTTCAACAGAGATAATAACTCATTATTATAACCCTTTTACTTCAAAAATTAAGAAATTTAGGTTCAAAGTTCTAGTAGCACTGGCAACTATTTCACTCAAGACAGAATTTATGGAATTCGAAGATCAGGCTTTCTAAACCTTCTGGGGTGTTTTTACTTTTTCCTCCCCGTGGATTCTACAGTACATGTGTTAGGAGGCAGTGCTCAGGGTCTCCATGCTTTAAACTATCCGCGTGAATTCCTGACTAAACTATTTGTAGCTGTCAGCCAGCTAAGCCCAGACTGCATTTCCCAGAAAAGCCCCGTGCTAGTGGTTTCCCATCATCAACAGCATCTCGTAAGCTTCAGCGGCCCTATGTCCCCCATGTAACACCTTTTTAACTTCCTCTTGAGTCATCAAGCACCTACTAATGTTTTCCTAACCTTTTGACCCTGACGCCAGTAGCAGTTTCATATTCTTTCCCATTGGGCCCCTAGTGTGAGACCTTTTAGAGGCCGAGACTGACTCCTTAATTATTTTGCTGCAACTGACTTTTCAAAATACCGTGTTATAATAACAAACCAGTTTTTGTAAAATTGAACAGTGCAGACACACATAATGAGGCAAAGTCTTCTCTTAATGGCCTCTCTTCTTCTCTCAGAAGAGACCCACAGCCAACCTTCATCCCCACACCTCTGAGTTACAATTAAGTGCTCAGTTCTAATTCAGTACCATAAACATACTGCACAAACACAAATAGCAGTAACTTACATAACAATTTTTCACTCTGTGAACATTATAATTTCTCTATTCCTCTACTATTTTTTACTTTGAGAATTTTCATTTCTTCATTCACCTAACATTCTATATTGCTCCAGATCTAGTCACACTGCTGTACTTGATTTAAAATGTTAATCAGTTGAAAAGTTGTCTTGTTTCACTGTTTTTTAAAACATAATTGAAAGGAAGATAAAATTGCATAATCATAAAATGCAGAAAAGTAGAAATCGAGGGATCCTAATATTATACATCCACTTACTGGTGGATAAATGAGGGAGATGGGGAGGGAGATTAAATGTCCTCTCTTAAGGTCAGAACAAGAATTCAGGCTTTCAGATTTCCAACCTAATGCTCTTTCCACTTCATCATGCTACGGGGCCTTCAGAATCTTCTGACCATTTGTATGCCACCTTTTCCCTCTTGGGGGAAATGTCCCTGGGATTTATTGGTCCAGTACTAACCATATTCCAAATAATAGAGAAAAACATGTCTTATCTTGAAAGATGATAAACTGATGTCACATGATAAGTTTGCTATAATAATTTTTTCAGTGTAAATGTTGCTACCTGAGTATAAAAAAGTGTTATGAGAAAGAGTGCAAACAGTGCAATTAACTATAACAACAATAAGCTAAGTTGTCTTGATTTTTGTTTTTTTAAGTGACAGAATAGCACTTCAGCTCACATCACAGGTCCCTTCTAACTGCTTTAACTCAAAGAATTTGAGTCAGGTCAAAACATCTGAATTGTTACTTTCTCCACGATATTGTTTCCTATACTTGATATTTCCAAAATGATGAACTTGGCACTACTTAAACATGTATTAACTAATTCATTGAAGCATCAAAGGTGTTAAGTCTGACAGACAGAAGTTGACTAAACAAATTTCAAGCACAGTATCTTATTGCTAGGTATAATCACTAGGAAATAATAAGATTTTTAAAACGTGACTCTACATGTTAAGAGATTAAAAAAGGAGATTCTTAAAATAGGGATAACATACCTCAGAATGATCAATTCTAGTTTTTCAGGGATGTTCTTTTAGTGGCCAAGAATATTTCCTCTCTCTTTTTTATACTTCCTCCATCCTTTAGTCCACTCATTCCTTTCACATACCTGAGCCAAATATAGAACTAGGCTCTCAGAATACAATGGTTTCTGTCTTCTCTAAGCTTTAGTTCTTAGTACACTGGCTAAGTCACAAGCTCTTGTGACCTCTTTTCTCTCTCTATCTAGTTGATTGCTGTTGCTCACACTTCTAACATCCATTTTATTGTCCACCCAAGCAAAAGTACCTTAGGAATAGAATTTTAGATGGTCTGGCTTTCTTTAGTCCATTTGCCACAGGGCTTCTGATCTTTTCATGTCTGGCCCTTTGCCAACCAACATCACTTAACCAGCACCTCCTGGGAAAGGCCTCTTAAAAACACCTCATCTTAAGTAGTCAGTTCCCAGTTACTGTCTTTTTTTCACTGTACCTTTTGTCTCTGATATTTTCTCCTTTGATTGTTAAATCTCTGTCTTCTCTTCCATGAAGACTGTGAAGGCAGACAGAAAGAAGCCTTATCTGGCTAGTTTGCCTCCGAATCCTAAAATGGTCTTGGTGCACAGTTGGCATTGATGAAATATGTGTTGAACGAGTGAATGGATTCCTAATTGACTACTGATTGTCGTACAGATACAGATTCATCTCTGTTGAGATGTTTTTAATCTCACGTTTATGAAGATTAAATCAGAATTTAAAACTAAGTCTGAAAATTAAAAACAGTTTGGAACTGTGGGAAACGTCTGGCAGAGAAATAATTTTGGCATTTGCAGTGATGGAAGGAAAGTTTTTCTTCTGATAGAGGTTGTTGGCCTCCATCAGTATTATTGGAAAATACGTGCCTGTTCTCGTTGGTTTGCTCAGGAACCGGGAACATCTGGCACTGGGATCATTGAAGTTGTTCATTTTAATGTGAGAGTTGTAAGAACTTTGGAGGTTGGAAATGGCAGAGAAAATGCCCTAAGAAAATGAAAGCAGTCTAGAGAAAGGAGAGACTCATGTCTCCTTTACTTTTTTTAAAATTTATTTTAAAATTACAGTTTACATTCAATATTATTTGTATTAGTTTCAGATGTACAGCATAGTGGTTAGACAGTCATATATATACTTTACAAAATGGTCCCACAATATTTCAAATACCCACCTGGCACCAGTACATAGTTACATAGTTATAATATCATATGTCTTTAAAAAATAGGTTTCTTTGGTTCTTCAAGAGTCTTACTTAAAGAAAGCTTCCTAGAAAGTTCCTAATGTATGGTTTCTGAATAAGCAGACTTCTGGGGGCGGGGGGCGGGGGAGGGAAGGGCAGCGTGCGTCGCTCCGCCTAGTTTAGGTTCATCCCGGCCCAGAAAGTTGTGTTTACAGGACAGGCTTTGGCTGCTGCTTTCTACGTCGTTCTGATCCCTTTAAAGGTGGGGGTCATGATGGAGGATGTGGAGGAAGAAGGCGGGAGCCAGCCGAAGGCTGGAGAATCTCGGTTGACATAGTAACTCTTGAGCTGCAACTCCCTTTGCTCCGGGCTCTCAGGCTCCGCTGCCACCCTCCGCCCCGCCTTCACTCACTCGGCCCCGGAGCCAGGACCTCCTCCTTACGGGGTCCCCTTTGTGGCCCCCTAAGTGGCCACTTGTCTCCGAATTAACAGCAAAGCTGCTCTCTGAGCTCAGGACGCTCTCAGGTTGCCAAGCGTCCGCAACCCCGGCCTCTCACCCTGGTCGCCTGGGCACCCGCGCGCCCCGGGACAGTCGGCGAGTGGCGCGGACGCTGCCTGGGGGTCCCACTGGGACGTCTCCCCTCGGAGCCGGACCTGGGGCCCGGCCGGCGTCCCCGTTATGAACCGGAGCCCAGCGTTCGGGCCTCGGAGAGGCGGCTCTCCCCGGGGCATGGCTGGGGCCGGCGCGCGGCGCAACGAGAGCCAGGACTACCTGCTCATGGACCCCGAGCTGGGGGACGAAGGCTGCTCGCAGCCCCCACTGCCTCCCTACGGCTACTACCCCTGCGTGTAAGTGCGGGCTCCGCGGACGGGAGGGCAGGGCGCGGGCTGTGCCGCCCGACGCTGTGCGCTCGCAGGAGCGTGCGATCCGTGTCCCTGTGCGTCTGAACACGCGTGTTCCCCCGCGGGCGCGAGTCTGGGCTGGGACCCCTGGGAACCGAGGGCCGTGTGCGGATCTAGGTTGCTCCCGCCACGAGTGACACCGTGGACCACTAAGGGTGATCGGGTGCCTTGTCAGTATCCTCAGTTCTGGTGCCACCCCGCGCCCTCAAAGACACCCCGGGTCGCTGTGCCAAAGGCATGTTCTGGGCAGGGGACTGATTCAAATTTGCCCCCTGTAACTCAGCCTGTGTGGGATTGATGAGCACAACACTAAAGGTCCTCGGAGCCGCCTCGGTGCGTCCGGGGAGCTCAGGGACTAGTGTGTCCGGTGTTTTACACACTCTGCCTGCCTCACTTAGCCCTTCAGGTGGCGCGCACAGGTCCTTCGGACCCCAGACAGCGGGAGTTCGAAGATGTGCACGGGAAGGTGTGGACTTGCCCTGGGGACATCCTCTTCTCCGCCTCCGGTCACCCGGTTAAGTCTGGGAGATAGAACTTCTAGGCTTCCCCACCCCCAGCACAAAGCTTTTACCAAAGGCGTCCCTTGGAGATGAGCCGGATAGGGTGCGGGCCAGGAGACCAGTGAACTGCAGAAGCGAGGAGGACAGGTCATTAGTAGTGCATTGTGACTAATTAAGAGATTTTATTTATGGATTTGGGGGATGGGGTCATTAGCAGAGTCGGGTAGAGGGTGGAATGGAGAAGTCTCCCCTCCCTCGAACGCCTGGGCCCACACGTGCAGCTGGTAGATAGTGTTTCCGCCTCACTGCTCCTTTACTTGATTGGGTAGAGTGGTTTCCTGACAGGTCACATCCATCCAGATGCGGTCTTCCTCTTGAGGAAAGCACTTCCCCGTGTGTGTGTGTGTGTGTGTGTGTGTGTGTGTGTGTGTGCGCGCGCGCGCGTGTGTGTAGGGAGCAGGACATTTCCGAATTTCTGCCTCCTTGGACTCTAGGCAGACCCTCGTGGTAGATGGGGGTGCGCCCTCCGATCTTTGGTCAGGACTGCCCAGAGTCAGGCCCTGCCGTGGTTCCCTTTTACAGTAAGACGTGAACCCTAGGAAACAGAATCTAATTTTTTTCCAATATAAAAAGAAAATGTTGGAACTGGTTCCATTTATCTATGTGCTGAACAATTTGAAACCCCTTACTATTACTTATCTTGTTTCTTTTAAAAAAATCAAGGTGTGCCTCCCATCACCTACAATTCATTTTAAGTTGTACAGTTCAGTGGTTTAGCATACCCACACAGTTGTGACGCTGTCACATCTGTCTAATTTCTGGACATTGTCATCATCCCCCCCCCAAAAAAAATCTTGTATTCAACTTTAAATTACAGAATATTCTATTGTTTTACAGTACAAAGCTTCTCAGGCTTTAATGAACATATGAATTACCTACGGATCTTGTTAAAATGCAGATTCTAATTCAGTAGCCTCCAGTTGCAGCCCAAGATTCTACACTTGTGAGAGTGTCTGAGAAGTGTGGAGAATGCTCGTCAAGGACCACACTCTGAGTAGCAAGAACACATACGCCAAGAAAAAATAGAAAGAAAAACAAATCAATCTTGGATGTTATGAATACAGCTATTTTCAAATTTGATTTGAGAGTATATGTTTAGAACATAAACTTTTTAAAGATTTTATTTATTTAACTTTAGAGGATAAAGGGAAGGAGAGAGAGAGAGAGAAATATGAATGTGTGGTTGCTTCTCTTACGTCTTCTCCTGCTAACTGGCCTGCAACCCAGGCGTGTGCCCTAACTGGGAATCAAACTGCGATCCTTTGGTTCTCAGGCCTGCGCTCAATCCACTGAGCTACACCAGCCATGGCTAAAACAGACACTTTTTAAAATTGGCTTAGACTTGAGATTTACTAAGAGGGTAACATTACCTGTGGTTAAGTCAAACAACTTGAAAAAGCTATATTGCTTTTTAAAAATCAGGCTGTCTCATAGATAAAGTCTTGTCTGTTTTCTTTTTACCACCTGATTAGTCTATAATCACTTGTTACTGTCTGTGGGAGAAAGAATTTGATTTAAAAAACTGTTTTAATATATTAGTAGTGAGAAAAAAACAAAGTAAAGTAGTAAGATCATGTCCTGAAATCTTTCCTCAATGCTTTCTTCAAATGTGGTTTACTGCCTTATTTATTGTTCTAGTTCTTACATTATCTGCTATTTAGAGAACGTTTAGTTTTGGAATTCCAGATCACTCTTCATGGCTAGATCTGCGCAGCAGAGAGATGAACAGAAATATTTGAATGCTCTTCTACATAAGGAGTACCCTCCTCATGCTATGTCAAAGTTACTATGTAATACATTTAAGAGTGAGTCTTGTTTCAGAAGTAGAGTCTAGTGTTGTCTAAATCTGTTATTTCCAGAGGCTTTATAGTTTTTATAGCTTTTGTCATTTATCTGGCAAGGTGTTTATTTTCTGCAGTTAAAAAATCAAGTAATTGAAAACTTTTAATCAATACACAACAGTTCTTCACACCTGTGATGTAAAAAAAAAAGAGCTAAAGAAAATTACTTTCCTCTGGTGGAGAGTACAAATACACCCTTCCATATGCTTTTGATTTGTGATTTAAACAATTTCATATATTTTCCCAGAGTAGGAGGCATATTATTTGTGAAAGTGTTTTTTTCAAATCACTGAGATATTTCCCTTATAAGATCACAAATTTTTGCAAGTTGTCATTTTTGTGGGGTAAGTTCATGACTCTTGCTAAAAAAAATTCTGTTTCATAGTTCACTTATGGAAAAAGACTTTTTGCATATATTTATGAGGCTTTTACAACTGAAAATTGTGACATATTATCTTCTTCAGGAACAATAACATATTCGCAGACCTTAGTGGTGTTAGTAGTAACATTTTGAAATGGTGTCTGGAAGAAAAGGATTTAAATTTTTTCTCTTTCCAACTTTTAATCAGGAATCTATCAATACTTTGTGTTTTGATCTATTTGTATGGGTGAATAGCAAGAAATGGTCCATGTTCTGCCAGAGTTTTAGGAAGTGTATCACTTAGAAATTTAAATTATGTTTCTTATTCACTGCTTCTCAACATGGGGAAGAACTCTGGACATAAAAAAAGTAATGTTAAGGGTTTCTGAGTTCTCAAGACCTGAAACACAGTCACACTAAATGTTCTATTTGGGAAACATTGACTAAATAATTAAAAATAAGACACAGTAAGTTCTTTGTAAACTAAAGCTCTGGCAATAGAATAGACTGAGATAATTTAAAAATATTATGGTTACTATTACCTAGAAATACTGGTTAAAGTATTTAAAGTAATTTTAAAACATTGCTCAGTTTCACAAAAAGTAAAATGGTTTATTTACCATGTGCCAAAAGCAAGGAAATGAACAGCTGGAGGAGAGCTGGTGCTGTGGCCCCCTTGGGGCTTATGGATCTGAGTGTCTAGGATGCTGGAGCTCAATGCCCATGTGAAATGGAGAGCAGCTCAGGCCTTGGTTCCAGATGAGGCAGAGAGTAGGGACTGAGACCTCTGTGCCCTGCACAGATCCAGGATCCTTATTTGTGTGAGAAGTTAGGCTAGAGTGAGAACAAGAACAGTGAGAACACGAAACTTTATTAGTAAGAGGAAAAGAACTCTTCCCCTAAAAATTTTATTCTTTGGGCTTGCATATTATGAGTTTTTGTTCTAGCTTTTATTTCTTTACACTGCTTAGCTGACCTGGAAATCTTTAAGCTGAAAAATGTTCTTGAGGTTCCGAGAAGAGTAAACCACAAAACTATGTTGAAAGAATAGTACCAACCATCTCAAACTGCAAGCATTTTCAAGAAAATGGCAAAAAAGAGCACAGCTAAAGATATGCTCACCATAATATGTGACCAAGCACACAAGGAAATAGTCAACCGAGAATGAGTGCCAGCAGAGGGTACAATCTGTCAGGCAGAGTCAGCATGTGGTCTAACGGCCTTACTGGATCCTTAGGAGTTTAAGATAATGTCTCAACATGAAAGAGAATATAAAGTGCAGAATATAAAATAAAATGTTGATCATGTATACAAAGAGATCAAATTCCAAGGAAAGAATAGGACTTACTTAAAAAAATTAAGAATCTGTAAATGAAAATACAATTTTGAAATAAAAAGTCAATGGAAGGGTTAAAGTGCAAATTAGCCATAGCATAATTGATAATAATATCCAGCATACAGAGATATAAAGAAATTAAAAATATAAAAATAACTGAGTCATGGAACAAGAAGATAGGAGTTACAGAAGGAGAAAATATAGATAATAGGGGGAAGCAACATTTGAATAGATAATGGGTGATAATTTTCCAGAAATGATAAGTTCTCATGTTTAAAAAGTACAGTAATATTAGTATAATGAATACAAATAAACCATTTAAACATATTATACTGAAACTGCAGAACGCTAAAGATGAGGAAATATTAAAATGAACCAAAGATACAAGGGATTTGAATAAGTATAAAAATTTAATTTTTTTTAAAATTACAGTTTGCATTCAATATTATTTTGTATTAGTTTCAGGTGTAGAGCATAGTGGTTAGACAATCATATAGTTTGCAAAGTGTTCCAACTGATATTTGCAATATCCAGATAGCACCGTACATAGTTATTACAATATTATTGACTATATTTCCTATGCTGTCCCTTATATCTTCAAGACTATTTTGTAACCACCAGTCTGTACTGCTTAATCCCTTCATTTTTTTCACCCAGTCCCCCCTCCCCTTGGCAACCATCAGTCTGTTTTTTCTATCTATGAGTCTGTTTCTGTTTTGTTTACACTGCTCTTTAGACTTTACATATAAATGAAGTCATATGGTATTTGTCTTTCTCTGCATGACTTATTTCACTTATCATAATGCCCTGTAGGTCCATCCATGCTGTCACAAATGGTAAGGTTTCAT